TACGTATTAGGTCGGGATTCCTTTTGGATTCTGTCAGGATTTGGCCCCTGTGATAAGGTCCCTGGACATGAACCAATAGATTCAAATGACAAGAGATGAGATTCTAATTAAATATTAGGAAGAATGTCTTGACTGTAAGAACTGTTTGATAGGAGCCCTGGTGGCACAGTGGTTAAATGACAGTACTATAGCCACAAGGTTGTGAGTTCAATCCCAGGGCTCCCAGATTGACTCAGCCTTTCAGCCTTTCATAGGTCAGTAAAATGAGTACCCAGCTTGTTGGGAGTGTTGGAAAATGTATGTATTGAATTCTCCTTTCCCTTCTTAGATAGACAGGGAATTCCCTCTCTCCTGTCACTCACTCTTGGGGACAGATTCTGCAGCACCTTTAAGACTAACTGGAAAAAAAAAAGAAGTTTTCAGCATGAGCTTTGCTATTTGTCAGTAAATGCTATTTGTCAGTGGAATAGACTGCCTCAAAACATGGTGGAGTTGCCTCCTTTAGTGGTCTTTAAATAGAGGCTTTAGGGCTGCATCCATCAGGAGTGCTGCCGATCTGTATTACTGCATGATAAGGGAATATGCAAGTGTAGCTGTGTTGGCTATTTAGCAAATTCAAACAAAAATCCACCAAACTGATACCTTTATTGGCCAACCAAAATGCACAATATACTTGTTGCAAGCTTTCGAAGCTCCACTGGCTTCTTCATCAGGCAAGATGTTTCAAATCAAACAGGAGGAAAAAAATGAAGATGTTAGTCAGATGCCTGCATTTTGATATTTCTCATAGGAATGGAGGCATATTGGATTGCAAGAGAGGGGTCCTTGTTGAGATGCAAATGGACTTTAAATTTCCTGGTCTTTGCAAATCTCCCAATAGCCACATGGCCAGAAGGAGGAAGGACCAACCTGCAAAATATACCCTCCACTTACCATTTTAACTAAAGACAGAAACATCAAAATGCAGGCATCTAACATCTCCATTTTTTTCCTGTTTGGTTTGTAACATCTTGCCTGATGAAGAAGCCAGTGGAGCTTTGAAAGCTTGCAACAAGTATTTTCTGCATTTAGGTCAGCCAATAAAGGTATCACTGTTTGGTGGATTTTTGTTTGAATTTTCATGATAAGGGGTTTGACTAGGTAGCTCTTACAGCCTCTTCCAACTCTATGATTCTATATTATAAGGAGAATTGCATATTGTTGCAAACATGCTGTGGTTTTGCAGAGAAGAAAAATCTGTAATCTTGACATTTATACAATAGATAGCAGAATGTTTAATTGTCTTTGATGGCTGCTAACTACTATGAAAATTTGTGTCACTTGTTTGGCAAGGAGACAATAAACAGATAAATGCTAAATGCATAAATCATAGTAGTGTCACCACAGTGAAACTAATCCTGTGAAAGGCTGGGGAAAGCAAAACACAAATTGGAAATTGGAAGAGCTAGCTGGCAAAGGATGCAAAGGAAAGCATGTCTAGATAAATAAATAAAAGTAAATAGAATCAGTTCATTTTGGGGGTAGTGTTCCTAGCTGCATCTGCACTGAAGAAATAATGCAGTATGACACTGCTTTAACTGCCATGGCTCCATCCTATGGAGTCCTGGGATCTGTAGTTTGTTGTGGCACTAGAGCTCTCTGACAGAGAAGGCTAAACATCTCACAAAACTACAAATCCAGAATTCCATAGCATTGAGCCATGGCAGTGAAAACGTTGCCAAGCTGCATTATTTCTGCAGTGCAGATACAGCTCCTAAGACCTAAGATGAACCTATCACAGGGTTTTCTTGACAAAATTTCAGTTCATACAACATTAGGACTGACTGATAGCAGCAGCAGAAAAACAGCCATTAAATGATACTGAAGCATGTTTAAAACATGTGTAAATATAATAAGGGGAGAAGTATCTAAATAAAACCATACACTACTATCTTCCCACTGCCTCATTCTAGGTAACTTCTAGTCTAATGCAACACCCTATTGTTTAAAATGAGTCATGAAATAATTAGAAAGGTAATGGAATGATAGAATAATAGCCTTTATTTAAATATATGAGATATGGGTAAGTGCTAAAATCTATCAGTAGGATTTACTTACAGTGGGGAAGCTCCTGGTCTTTAATCCAGCTTTAGTTTGACATAAATTCTGAGTGAATGAAATGGTTCTTTGGGTAAATAAGAGGCCAAAGTTTGGAGGATACAGCATGGGGCTATTAAAAAGTCCCATGCAAAACAGGAGACATTTAAAAAGGATGTTTCCACCACAGCTTAAACTACAAAGATATTCAGATGGCAAAACACTCAACAGTGGTTCTTGTGTGCTCACAGTCATGGGCATATCTCTCCACCATGAAAAGGAAATTCCAGACCAATTGCCTAATACTACCAAGAGTGCTCTGGTATGCAAAGGGATCTTTCAGCACCTTTGAAACTAACTGGGTGGGGGGGAAAGCTGGTAGGATGAGCTTTTGTAGACTTGAGCCTACTTCCTCAGATGCATGGTCTATGAAAGCTCATGCTATCAACCTCTCTCTTTCAGTTAGTCTCAAAGGTGCTGCAAGATCCCTTTGCATACTAATTTTCCAGGCTAACACAGCTATATATTTGAAGAGTGCTTTAGGTTTAAGTCTAAACCAGGGGTAGGCAACCTAAGACCCGGGGGCCGGATGTGGCCC